TCCTCCTCCTCCTCTACTACCCTTTGATCCCTTCTCTCCTCCACCGTCCTCTCCGAACCAGAAGAAGTTGGACTACTCTCTTCATCCATGCTCCCATAATCCAGGGGCATCACTTCGCTCCCCACTACACTCATGGTCCCTTCTGAAGACATCTCCTCAAATTTCTACATAAAATAGGAGGAGGAATGAAGTCAGGACCCTTAAATATTCTAACACACTCCATACATTCTCACTCCCAACCCTAATTTCCTTCAAAAAACCCAAAATCAAACACAGAAAGGAAGAAAGGGGAATCGCATTTCGACCCAATCGAACTCAAAAAATTCCAAATCGAAACAAGAAATTAATCAATTTTACCTGATTGTGATCTTGGGAAACTGTTGATGAAGCTTTAATCGAAGCGCAGACCGCACGAAACCGCAGAAATTTAACAAGGATGTACTAGCAAAATAACGAGAGTAAAAAAGTCCCCTTTTACAAAAGTGTAGCCTTTTATACCAAAGACAAAATACGCCCCAACGGCTGTGATTAACTCCATCTAACGGCTGCAGAGACACCGTTTCGAATTCGACGGTTAACCATCAAACGACATCGTTTCGAACTCGACGGTTCGCTTTTCAAATCTGCCCGTTGGACTGTTACAGTTATCTTTTTACAGCGGCATTTATTACGCACGTCATTCAGAGGACAGCTGTCGCGCCACGTACCGCGCCTTAGTCAGACTTCTCCAATGGGCCCACTTAAGCCCATTTCAATACTCTCTTTACTTTTGGCAAGTGTTTTACTTCGGCTCTGGTCACAGTGACTATGTGTCACCTATTTTACTTCGGCTCCGGCCACAGTGACTACGTGTCACCTATTTCACTTCGGCTACGGCCACAGTGACTTAGTGTCACGTGTTCTACTCCGGCTCTGATCACAGTGACCCAGTGTCACCCGATTCACTTCGGCTCCGGCCACAGTGACCCAGTGTCACCAGATTTACTTCGGCTCTGGCCACAGTGACCCAGTGTCACATGCTTCACTTCGGCTCCGGCCACAGTGACCCAGAGTCAGCCGTCTTACTTCGACTCCGGTCACAGTGACTCAATGTCATGTGCACTGCTTTGCCTGCGATCACCATGACTCAAGTCATTACTTTTTATTATGACTCATAACTAAATATTGCCTATGGTCATCTATACATGTAAAGTCACGAATTTTTATTTCCATAACTCATCTTCATCTC